GCATTATTTCTTCAATAGGAGTACGAAATTCCCAAGCGTGAACATACATGATATCAACATATCCAGTGTTCAGTCGTTTAAGGCTTTCATCGAGATTTTCGACAAGAGATTTACGGTGGTTTCCACCTTTAAGCAGAACATTTTCAGAACTTATATCCTTATAATAAACTCGTGAAAATCAATGATATAATTACCAGCATTTGGATTGTATTTTTGATTTGGCATCAAAGTAGTAACATTAGCTTTATAAATGAAAAGTAAACATATAGCATAAATAGCGAATTTTATGATAACATAAGTAATAAATTCTTATGATAATAACCAGTATATTTTGTGGCAACTACAACTTGAGAACGTTTATCAGCGATATATTCTCCAAGAAAGCGTTCACTCTTTTTACATACGAACAAAAGAATTAGTTATCATATATTATTTGTTTAATAATTAACATGTGTTATTATTATCATTAACATGCGTTATTCACCTCTCCAAAATTATACATGTTCGCAGTATCTAGAGATGGAAAATTTCATGTAAATTTGATATCAGTAAAATAATATTCTAAACATCCCAATATTTCTATTTGCTAAAATCAAACATTTGCGTAGGAAAACTCTTTTCGCATTCTAACAAAAAGATTTTGTGAACTAATCCTAACAACGAATTTTTTTTGTTTCTTATCACGTGATAGTAGCTTTTTTGGTGCCGATACTAGGGAAGATGACCTAATACTCAAGTATATAATACGTACCGATGAAATTTCCGCCTTTTTCAAAATAATAATCGAAAATTTCTTTAGAGTCTTCAAAATTCACGCCGATTTTCTATTAAAGAATTTTTCGTATTTATTAAGATATTATTTTATACGAATCATGAAATCATAGTATATTAGTGACTGGACTCGTCAACTCGTGATTCGAAACATGACTCGAATTATTTGAGAATCAAATCAATTTAGTTTAATTTGCATATTAATTTCGTGACTCGAATGACTCGAATAATTATAATAAAATAAACGATTACTATATTAAAAATGAGAAAAATCTTACCATTTGTTCTCCAAAAGTCTTGTGCCAAAACCATTGAAAGAATCAGCTAAAAAAAAAAAAAAAAGACAATGATAACAGAAACTAAAAGAGCATACCATAGTACCAAGGCATAGAGGGGAGACCCTCAATCCACTACGTCCTAGAAGAACATAATCATCAAGGGCTTTAAGGGATTCTTTAATGCATGTTGAGTCTTGAGTCATTTTGTATTATTTGTTTCAATAAAACTGCTGTAATTAACATTAAAAGGAACGATATAATTTATATAATTTTTTTCCTAGAATTTACGCAGCAATATCGTATCTCAAGTTTTTCCGTTTCCGATATTCTTAATTTTAGTTTTAGAGGAATATCAAAAAAGTGAAAATTATTGTTTATTAAAAAGGTCACCTTAATAACATTTTAAATTATTCCATGTGTACAAATTTATTGTAAATTTTCTATTGCTAGATTTAGAATTATCTACAAATAAGTTTGCGTACCATATATATTCCCGAAAATAAGCAACCATTTTTGGCGCAAAAATTTTACAGGTACGTACGTAGTTTATTTTCAAAACATTTTTTTAAAAAATTAAAATATTTTCGTGAATACTTATTTAAATTGCATAAAATTTTAGAAGATGCGTATTTTGAAGTCCTGAACAAATTTACTTAAGAGCCTAAAGACGATTTACTTAGTAATATTTTGACTTTTATATGTAGGAACTATTTGTGATTTTTCTATAATTTTTGCAAAACGGGGGTAGCTTATTTTCGGAGTAGCAATATACGGTAATTGAAGATATACGTAGCAAAATGTTGGACGTATCGGTATGTAGGATCGTAGCTAGAGATGGGTTTCATGCGTGCGCATGATTGAGGAATCATGCGCATTAATGCGCATTCATGCACATGATACCGTTTCATACACATTTTATCCCAGCAAAATTTCTCTCCTCTCGATCGTTTTTGCCTTTTTTTATCATGCGATATCATGCGCATGAAACATTTCGTGCGCATTAATGCGCATTCATGCGCATTAATGCGCATTCATGCGCATTTTTCCCATACTAATCGTAGCATCACAAACATAAACAATTCCGCTTATCATTATTAGTGCGATTTTATGTTGCACTTGATCAATGTTGACTTAGAAAGTAGTGCAGAAAATACTTTCGGGAAATCTATTATCCGAAAGTTCTACCGGATGTTACGCTCAAATTTCTTTTTTTGTTATGGCATAGTATTTTATCATTATCATTATGGCACAGTTTGGTGGTTTTAACCCCAGCGAGAGATTGAAACGCCCAACGAGAGGTATAAACAGGTTCGGTTTCAGCCTACTAAGGGAAGAGCAATCGAGTCGTTCATAGTACACATGTGGCCGAAACTATTTGGGCTTATTCGAAACTAGCTCGACATATGTCGTAATAGTTTCGACACAAGCAGAAATAATTTCGACCACATGTATAGTTCATAGTGGTATTATTGCGCATAATCCGATGTATTGAATTTATTTATGTTAATAATAAATAGAAACCTTCTAACATATAATTATGTGTGTTAATTTTTCGGTTAAACTATTTTACCTTAATTACAATGGTAAAGTTGTTCAAAATTCTTAAAGCTTTCCCTCGATCGTATCATCGGCCGAAAGTACTACCGCTACCGAAAGTTAAAGCATTATTGAAATCTGAAAGTTTTACTGAAATTTAATGTAGATAATAAAAATTATTTCCGACGCAGAATGGAGGAGGATAAATCTGGATATGAATGTTCACCATACCTGAATTCTGTTAGTTATAATTAGTTTTCTAAGAATCGTAATTAATAATAGTTAAGTATATCCCACCGATGTTAAGCCTCTAATAGCCACGGATATAGTGTATGGTTAAGAGTTTATATTAGTAATAGGAAAATTTTAAAGGGCATGCGTATTTTTCATTTCTAACAACTAAATTTTATCATTGTAGAACCTATAGGGTATAGACATAAAGGGTCTAATATTAAGTCTTTTAATCGGTCATCTACGGTAAGTGTAATATTTATTTTTATTTGTGTTTTCCGGAGATTTAGGAACATAATAGTATTTGCAAGATATTGTTTGACCAAGATATCCGCTTAGCTCATTCAATCACATCGATATGCATTTGACGCAAAAATACACATTATCCGACATTTCATATGATCATGTGAATTTTTTTGCCATGATATTTTTTGCATGAAATTACGTAATCAGTTTTGCAAAATATCACAGAAAAAACTTCACATGGTCATATTAACTATCGGATAACATCATTATTGAACATACGTACGACAAATAACAGGCAAGTTTTTTTTCAACGGAGTTAATTTCACTCATGTGCTGCGTAGCAGCACATGGAGTGACATTTACTCCGACAAAAAAAAAATTGCCTGTTATTTTTTGTCGTCTGTCCAATAATGTACACATATTATGCTGCGCTTTGATCCAGTTTCCTATACTAGAGTTAAAATTGGTTATTATTATATTATTTTCAAGATAATTAAAATTAACCAGAATGGTGCTGCCAAGTGAAAACCAGAAATTCTAAAAATAGAATCTTTACATAACGGATTGCGGGCTTTTAACTGATCCGACTAAAATAATAATTTATACTGTTTTGATCAAGTATTAGTATTATTTGTTACGGCTGATGTGAAAATAGCCAATGCTGAAAATTGGACCTATTTTGATATTAAAATTTAAAAATTTTTTGGGATGTTTTATACCGCTTTTTTTTAGGGTTAGATTAGGAATTTATAATTAAAGAGTATATGTAGATTTTGGCAGGGCTTATATCTTAAAATCGAGATCCCAATTTTCAGCATCAGCCGCGACATTATTTAAAGTCAATATTCTGTTGTCTAGAGAATTCTATTTTAGAATTCCTGGTTTTCATTTGGTAGCACCCAATGCAGGGATGTTAAGGGGTGCCCTAATTTTCCCCACCACTTCACTATCGGAGAACTATAAAATTGATTAATAACACAGATACTCCGATATGTGAATAATTAGTAGAACCAATCAGAAGTGGTGGGGAAATTAGTAAATTCAGATGTTAAATAGTTAGGATAAAACTATTGAACTCTGTTCCGTTATCGTGTGTGCTAAATCCGTTTGAACTAAATAGTTTATCACTTTAATTGATATGTCATAAAACGCAGGCGTTGGTTTGAACTATTATATAATTTATGTATTTAATCAAAATACTATCATGTATAAAAATGACATTAATTTTTATCCAATCGAAATGCTTGCTGATTAGCAGAAATAGTTTATTAACTCTAATTAACTAGTTTTACTAAACTGTTAAAAACAGTTTCATGCGACTAGCTAAAATCGGTTCAAGTAGTTAACTACCAGTTTGTAACTGATATAGTTAGTTTTTAACGGTTTAGCATCCCTACCCAAATGATTGTTAGAGAAGTCATGTGCGTATATTAAATTATAAACACAGGTATGTATACAATTATGTAAAGTGAAAAGTTCATAAAATTTCAAAATTTGTTAGTTATTATTTGGTTGCACCAGACATATATATATAGCTATACTTATATGTTGAATAAGTTGTATATTATATAGCGATCTTAAAAACAATTTTTATTATATCAGGTGATGTTGAAACCATTTTTCGTCATGGCGAATCGTAACAGATATAATACATCTTTTGCTTGGTATTAACATATGATGAATATTGATATTTCAAGATCTAATAATCCAATTTTAATAATTTTGGTATCATTAGAATTCTCTTATTAAGAAAATTCTAATAGTACTAAAATATTAAAATTGGATCACAAGATCTTGAGATATCAACATTTGATCAAAAATTAAAATAAATATTATTTACAGTAAATTAAATTTATATATAGGTTAGGTTTAGTTAGGTTTATATTAGATTTAAATTAGATCTAGATTAAATTTAGATTTAGATTATATTAGAGTTAGATTAGATTTAAATAGTTTAGATTAGGTTTAAATTTAGGTTAAAATTTATATTAAATTAATTAAATTAGATTTAGATTTGGTTTAAATATATTTTAATACTTTAAATTTTGAGATACATTCTATTAGAAACTATTTTTATATTTTTTGATCCAGTTTATAAGTTGATATGAGTATGTAAGAATCAAAACCTGGAAACTATTATAGCAAATCATTAAATCAGTTTTCAGGTTTTACTCTCGCATATTTATATGGAGAATTTAATGATAATTTAAAAAATTTTATTTTTTAAAGATATTTGTAATATTTTAAATAAATTTGATATATTTACTATATTAAAGCAATTAACAATGCCGCAAAATAACTATCTGTTTCACATATTTAAATATAAATTTTAAAATGTTGAAATTGCTATGGCTAAATTTTATTATTTTAATTTGGGATCGTGTGCATTTAGTGATATATGGCCAATCAACTTGTTTGTTTTGATCAACACGGATCAAGAAAAAAGCAAGAAAGCGTAAGAATACAAGAAACGAGTGTCTAAACCTACCTAGGGCATTAACAAAAAATGTCGGAGAGGCAATTTTACTATAAGACTTATCCTCACCCTAACCTCTCACTAACCCTTACCCTAAATTTAATTAAAAAGTCAAAATCATATGACTGCCCCTACTTTAAACATCTCCGCAATTCATAAACAGCACCCATAACTTCCGTAAGAGAGAGTTCTTCTTCTTCAGGGGATCGAATAACTTTGTTAAGATTATTTGAGAAGTAAAAATCTTTATCACATGACAATAGATTATTTCGTAGTTTCATTATATGCTCACGAAGCTTAATTGTATGGCATTCATAAAAGCTTAAGATAAAAAGAGATAAGTAATACAGTAGAAATAAGGTTTCATTTTGACATGTAGTTAAATATAACTTACACAATAAATGGAAACCAATTTTCTTTTCTATGTTGATGAGGTAACATATATAATAACTCAATTTCTTCTAATACCTATATAATTATTAATAATTTTTTTTTTTTTTTGGTTTTAAGGTGAGGCCTTACTCATATCTTTATTAGTAAAAATTTTTTAATAGTAACAGT